CGTTCTGTGTCACTTGAACTTACAGCACATGTCTGGCAGAAAAAAACGGGCCATTACTTAGAGGCTGTGATTTTTTTTGCAGAATTTCCGTTGTTTACAAGCTCCATTTTTTCTTAATAGTTTCTTTCGTTTTTATTGGAGTGCGTTTTCGGCAGTTAACTCTGTGTATTTTTATGAACTGCAGCTAATCAGAATATGGGGGTAACTGTGTTTCAGGGCTTGCCATTGGCCATCCGTTATCAGAAATAGAAGCGAAACTGTCGCCTGAAGAAATGTCATATCGCATGGATTTGTATCGAGTGATGGAGCAGGCAGTGGCCAGCCGCGGAGTCACTGGCTACTCGCACTATGCCTTCCCGGAGGAGCTGTGTAGTGAAACGGATGCCGACATACATCCAGAACTGAAAGCAAAAATTCAAAGTAAGTTTTGCCATCTGAAAAGTTACCTCATGTAATATCGTGCTTGCGAGGACTGCATTGTTCTGCATCTCATTACAATAGTAGTGTATTACGCACAGATATTTAATGATATATTGATGGGGAAAGCTTCTGACTGACAAAGTTCATTCTCCACATATTGAAAGGAAAGTGTTCAAAGATGCAGAAAACGAATTAAAAGAATTGAGAAGGGCGTCAAAATTGAAAAATTGGGTGAGATGAAGGCAGATCTGGCCTTAGGGACTCAGATCTTTTCAGATCCCTGAAAGAAAGCAAAGGAACCGGTGAGAAAAAGGAAAGAGCGTATATTTTTGGTACTTTTGCGTGTGGAATTGGACTGATAGATTTTAGAAAATGAGAACCTAGGAAGTGTCGAATTTGAATAAACCCTTTTTCTGACCCTTGGTCATATAAGTAGATGTGCCTCAGCTTACATTTTGGCGTCATATTACGCTCAATAAGTTAAATTTTTAAATTTTACAGTGGCCGATTTGTACATTGAGCTGTGGTATCGTAGTCGCGAGGACGAGCTGGCCAATATTGACAGCAATTGTATTTGCGTGAAAATTCGAAAAGTGATTGACGTACACACATCCGATGTTATTGCAAGTGCAATAAAGGAGCTTACACTGCGCCACAAATTAATGGCATGTTTTTGATGAATTTCTTTTTTGAAGCTTTCCAATAAATACCTTTTAGCGCCGGACTGTTCGTGAGGGTTAGCAGCCTCAGGCATTCCCTGTACATCTCACTGTTTTGGCAACTATCTGTATTTCATGGCCAGTAAGTGCCCCTTGCTGTTACTGCTTTGCCAATCTGAAAAAGTTGCCAGACGCGTATTTTGAGCACTGTGTTGTAAGGCACATCTGCTTTACATATTTCGAATTAG